CTCTCTCTCTCCATTGGTTCGACAAGATGCCACGCCTAAAAACATCTGTGTACTTTGATAAGCGGCATAACGATTCAATCGAATACACAAACACTGTAAAATTCTTACGTTAAACATTTAATGTCGATGAGAACTGCTTCGATGATTTTTCTTACCTTATCGGAAGGCTTATCCCCTTATCATTTAAAACATTGTGTGTTCTTTCACAAATGACAGTATTCGAAGCCGTAATAAATATAATACATATTTGGTACTTTCAATAATCGACAAATTATAAAAGAAATTAAATTTGTTGAAAAAAAGTTTTTAATATAAAAGCAACAAAACTAATTTTACGTAGAAAATGTCGAGCGTATGGGGTATGCCGTTTAAGAAAATTCTGGACTGACGAGCGACCTCCGACCAAAAAAGGTTCATACATATACATATCTAAACATACATAGATACATTTATGTATACGTTTATGTATACATACATACATTTCTGTACACACATGATTCACATATGTTTTGTTTTAATATTTCCTTATCTGTTTCCATAAATTTTAAGAAAAAACTAAAATGATATTCACGTTTAATTAAGCGATATAGAAAAATGCATTTATAAAGTACGAAATAAATATTAAGTTCTAAAATAAAGCTTTTTTTTCTTGAAAAGAAAAATATTAATTAAAATAAATTTTAACTGAATTAATATATTTTATATTTTACACAAAAGAATTGGATTTATTTTAAAAAATAAATCACGATAAACTGTATAATAATATTAATATCTTTGAAAAACGAAAATATAAATATTAAATATTGTAATATAATTTTTTATTACAAAACGTGATGCATTTGAAATAAATATTTGTCTTTTATTGATATTATTTATATTTTTGATAGTATAAAAGAAAATTTTCATGGAAAATAACACAAGTTATCATATTGTGTTCACTCTACACTGTACTGTTTCTTGTAAAACTAATAATTCAACTTTTTCTTTAGTTTTTTGTAAAGTATTATCAAAAAAACATGACAAATTACTATGTCAATACTTTTACTGCATATCTGTTGGCCATTTTTTTATTAATGTCAATTTTTATCACAATGGCAATTTCCGAATCACTGAATGTCATAAATGTTCCTATACAATGTCCCCCTGAAAAAACAAAAGTTGGTGATAGATGTCGTATTGTCTTCTGAATTCAATGTTAGGTATTATTAACATAACATTTCTATTTTGACAAATATTTTCATTGATGTTCGTTCTCATTTTGAATATAACCTTTTTTATTCTTATTATTATCTGTTTCTTTCAATGACACAAGTAATTTTCTTGATTGATTCGATCAATCGATGTATAAATAATTTATAATTAATAATGTATAATTAATAATGTTCTTTGGTTTACAGGAATATGACAGTTGCAATTCGTATTTGAAAAGAAGAAAAAATTAAAAAAAAATACGCAAAATACTATAAAGTTGAAAATTATTGTATTGTGATTACTGTTTACGTTTTTATGAGATTAATAATTCATTTCTGCTTTGCTAGTCTTTAACAATACATTTTTAAGGAAACATAAAAATTGTCACTATTTTTATTACACATCTGTTGATCATTTTTTTTTTATTCACATCAACTTTTATCATAATGGTGATCACCGAATCACATCTCGTACAAATTGTCGCATTGGTTATATGGAAATTGATGAAAAATGCCAAAAATGTCCAAAGTAAAATTAACGTCAATTATTAATAATAATAATAATTATAATAATAATAATAATAATTATACAAGATGTACAAAAAATTGCGGGACGGCGAAATATCTCCAAAGCTAAACATTTTGGGAAAAAGTTATGGCATACTAATCTTATATTTATAATTATTAAATTATAAAAAAATGGAGACATTATATTTAATATCATTACAATGTAATTTATAAGAAAATGTTTAGTAAAGCGATTGTAGTTCATATTTGAAAAGCAGTGAAGAAAATGATAAATAAAAATTATAAATTAGCAGTCAGAAACATACTATTAGAAACATACTTTATTGTGTTTTGTTTTAATATTTCCTTATCCGTTTTCATAAATCTTGAGAAAAAACTAAAATGATATTCACGTTAAGAAAGTATAGTAAGAAAGTATAGAAAATGGACTCATAAAGTATAATAAATATTAAGAACTAAGATAAAATTTTCTTTCCTTAAAAGAAATAAAATTATTATATTATTATATTAAAATAAATTTTTTAATTAACATGTTTTATATCTTATATAAAGGAATTAGATCTATTTTGGAAAACAAATTGCAATAAATTGTATAATAATACTAGTATCTTTCATATTTAATATTTATATCTTTGAAAAACAAAAATATAAATATTAAATATTGTAATATAATTTTTATTACAAAACATGATGCATTTGGAATAAACGTTTGTCCTTTATTAGTATTATTTACATTTTTGATAGTATAAAAAAAATCTTTCTGTAAAATAACACAAATTGAAAATTATCATACTACATGCTTACTGTGCATTGTATTCTGCATTGTTTCGTATTCTTGTGATTAAAAATTTGACTTCTTCTTTAATCTTTTGTAAAACATCTTTAAAAAAACATGACAATTAGAGTGTCAATATTTTTACTATATATCTGGCCATTTTTTTATCAATATTGATTTTCATCACAATGGCGATTTCCGAATCACATATTATAAATATTCCTATACAATGTCCTTCTGATAAAATACAAGTTGGTAAATGCTGCGATATCTTCTGAATTTAACATCAGGTACTATTAATCTAACATTTATATTTTGACAAATATTTTTATTGATATTTGTTCTTATTTTAAATATAAATTTTTGTTCTTATTATTATCTGTTTCTTTCAATACAAACAATCTTAATTTTCTCATCTTTGATTAATCGATTTTATTAATAATATCCATTTTTGGTTTACACAGGAAAACAGCTGCAGTTATGACAGTAAAACCTCGTTCAACACGATAGCGTTGGAAGAATGTTATGACAATAAAACAGCTGCAGTTTGTATTTGGAAAAATAAAAAAATTTATAAATTAATATTGTAAAAAAGCAAACAAGAATATCATTATAAATATAAATTATTAACCTTTGACTTATACATGCAATTTTATAATTCCTACCAAAGAAAAATCGTAATTACAATACACAGCACTTTTTTATTTCTATAGAATACACATTCTTTTTAGCTTAATAAACTTACGAAATATTTATTTAAATCAAGAGAATGATATATTTGTATAAATTCACATAACAGCAGAAACTATTTTTATCCAAGTGTATCCAATTATAAATCTGTTTCTAGATAATTTTTCATTAACTTTTAAATAAATTTTTCCAAATATTTTTCAAGAATTGTTAATTATTTATGACTAAAAGAAGAAAAAGATAATTTTCAATCTTATTTAACACATATTAGGTAAGAATATAAGAATAAAATGTCAAGACAAAATATAAAATATCTTATAAACTACTGTCTCTTTTTATAATACTTTAATATTCAGAACTGTACTTCTATTTAAGTACTTCTATTTAGAAGAATCATATTACGTATCAGAAAATATATAATTCCTTTTATAAAAGTATCAATCATAAAAGAATATCAATACGCTATTTGCGAATAAATCAATATCATAATTACGTAAATTACAATATCTCTATATAATAATAATAATAATAATAATAGTATTTCTAAAAGATAAAAATATAATGAAAAGAAAATATAATAAAAATATAAAATGAAAGTATAAAAAATAAATATATAATGAAAAGATAAAAATATAAGTTCATTTAATTTAGAGTTTTGTTTAGAGCTTTCTCCGACTTCGATTTGAATTTGAATTTTATTTTAGTAACTCTTAAGTTACTAAGCGAAAATATAAAAAAAAACAAAACATTTTTACTATTTCCTTATTTGTTTTCGTGGAACTTAAAAAAATCATAAACTTTAAAAAAATAAAAGTTTATTTTATTAAAATGAATTTTGATGAAAATAAATATGTTTTATATACTACATAAAAATTTATCTATTTTGACAAACAAATACACAATACACAATACACAATACACAATACACAATACACAAATACACAATAAAATGTCGAGTATAACATTATAATATTATATTATCTTTGAAAAACAGAACTATAAATTCATATTAAGTATTGCGATATAATATTTATCACATGCAAACGTGATGCATTTGAGATATATATTTATCTTTTTTAGAATTATTTCCGTTTTTGCAATATAAAAGGCAACTCTCATTCGAAATATTATAAATTGAAAATTATCTTATTGTTATTACTATCTGGTACGGTTCGTATTTCTGTAAAACTGATAATTTGATTTTTACTTCAGTCAGCAAGGCATCATTAAAAAAACATGGAAAATCGTTATATTAATACTTTTACCACATATCTTTTGATCACTTTTTTATTAATATCAACTTTCATCACAATGGCGGTCACCGAATCACACATCATACAAGTTCCATGTCTTCCTGGTTATGTAAAAGGAAAAGATGGAGTATGCCGTGAGGCCACCAAATCCAAGTATTACTTATTTTTATATTATTTTTTAATATTTTGACAAATACTTTGGTCTATATCACTTCTTGTTTTAATTACAATCTTTCCATTTTTCTTATTATTATTTTTAATGATACGAATGATCGTTATTTTTTCGATTGATTCGATTAATTGATATTATATAACAACGTCCATTTTTTATTTATAGCAAAAGGCCATATATATTATAAATAAGACGATTGCAATTCGTAATTGGAAAAGAATGGAGAAAGTGATAAATAAATATTGTAGAGAAACAATCGGAAATAAACCATTATAAAGGTACATTATTGATTTTAAACTTGCAATTTTATAATTTCCTTTTAATTGAAAATAATAAAGAAAATGATACACAAGTATTATAAAGAAACGATCAAATAATAAAGAAAATAATAA